AATGGCACCATTTTTGCTAAAGCACAACAGTGACCTCCTTCCTCCAAGACATCTGCAATTCACTAGACTGAGGACTTCTAAAGCTCATGGAAATGTTAAAATCATGGCAAATAAGCAGCTTGAAATCCAGGCTTTGAAGCTTGGCCTTTAACAGACTTTTCATATTCAAAATGAAATAGGAGAAATATAATCCTGCCCTGTTTGCTGTTGTTTGTTGCCTCACAACGTTGAGGAATGAGTCACAAACCAAAAGAAGTTCAAAAATTTTCTTAGGGAAGAATAGCCCTGAATTTTCAGGAGTGGTCTTCAGTGTTTTGGCCACAGACCTATTGTCTGGGGTCATTTATACAGCAAAGTCACAATGTGGGTACAGTGTGGGTCTCAAACTACAATCAACCTATCAGCTTATAGTTGCTTAACTAATAATATTCAGCAGGGGAACAAGTCAGCCAGAAAAGGTATGTGGAAAGAGCCAAGGCATTTTATGGGAACAATAGTCCAGTTGTTCTTGTCATTGAGTATGGTAATTGATGCCTATCAGGTCTTCCTGGAGGAGGTGGTGGTAACTGTAGTACATTTCAAGCTGTTCCTTTTCTCTTCAGGAGCATGTAGACATGGTCACTGCATCTTCACCTTCAGGTCTGGCTTTCTTCAGCTGTGCCTGTAGAAGTGATTGCTCTGTTTAGTTTTTTGCGTTGACTCTTTCAGGTTCCAGTACCCCTCTGATTGTGTATCAATTTCTGTTTACATTGACATCCTTTACTAAAATCACAATACTATTTGAATGGATAAAGTGGTGTTTATACAATCAAAAATATTCATTAATAGAGGCCAAGGATTTAGCTTATCAGGCAGAAACACCTGCCTGGAGAGTCCTAGGTTGTAAGTTTAATCCCTGGTACCTAATAAAAAAAAGTAATTTAAAACTGCAAGTAAAAAAAAATAATTTCATTTGTGAAAATGTAGGTTTACAAAATTTATAACTAAATATGTCACTGGCAAATTAACATTGTTAATGGTCATATTTAGTATCTAAAGTTGTTGGGGCTGGGATTGAGCTCAGTGGTACAAGGAGCTGCCTGAAAACACAAGGTCATGAGTTCAATCACTTATACAAAAAAAAAATTCACAGTTGTCAAGGATGCAGTACTATGAGCACATTTATTGAAACTGATACTTGTTAATTAATAGACTCAATGTTTCTTTTGTGGTCTACGAAATACCTACAGATAACATGGCAATTACAGTGAATGATATACTGTCCCCTATAGGATTGCTATTTTTGGAGTTGTATTTATTTTTTGTTTTCCCACATACTTGAAAGTTGAGGGGCTGGGGATTTAGCTCAATGGCATAAGCACCTGCCTTGCAAGCAAGTGGTCGTGAGTTCGATCCTCGGTACTGATTAAAAAAAAGAAAAACGAAAGCTGAAAATGTTGGCTGATGCTAGGTAGAAAATCTGTGATAATCATTTTTTCAATTTAATGATATATTTCCCTCTATCCATTAAGAACATTTTATTTGCTGCAATTGTTCCAAGTGAAATTGATAAACAGTTCTTAAAGTTACAGGCAGCTGAGTTAGTTAGAAATACAGACAGCCATACAGTGATATAGTGGAATGAAACTCCTGAACTTCTATGTCTGGTATGAGTTTGTGTTCTCTAAAATGGAAGAATAAATTTTAGGAACAACAGAGGTGAAGAGCAAAATATATTTATTGTGATATTCAGAGAAAAAAAGTGAAAGTATTTTGCCCTAAATAGTATATTTTTGCAGTGGGATGTGGAACCAGGGGACTTTTATCTTGAGGTCACTTTCCCTCCCCTATGCAACTTACCTGTGGCCTGAAAAGAGTCTCAATCAGCTACTTGCATATCAGGAATGCCACCTTTAAGGACCACCCAAGTCAAAAACTATATGTATGCCCCCCCACACCTTTCCAGAAGAAAAAGCCAGACTCCCAGTGGTCATGGGATTCTCTCCATGGTCTTAGAATAAAGGCCATTTTACTTTATATTCTCTTGTTTACTACACCAAAAATCCTATCAGAAAGGTTCTGTCTGAGAGAAACAGGAGGGGGTTCTGAGCCGGTACAAAGGACTCTGTATTTTCTAGGGACTTTATAGAATAAAATCATGTGGGATATGTTTAAAGTGCGTTAAATTACTGAGGTTACTGAGGAGGTAAATTAGCACAATAGAGAAGCATAAGATAAGAAATGTAAAAGTGGCCTTATATTTAAAGAATGTTTAAAGGAGCCCACAGCCACCAAGGATTTGCCTTTTTGTGTGTGTGACTAACTATGGGGTTATGGGGTATATGTGAATTTTGACTGGATGTGATGCCTGGAGGGGACATTGATGTCATGCAAGGAGCAGATTGGAATTTTCTTTAGGGCCTGGGAAAGAAAGAGGAAGTTGTAATCAAGGGAAAAACCTGGAAGGGACCATAAGGGTAAGCATCCCTGATTTCACCTTCTTCCACCTTTAACTACCACCATGTGGACTTTAATTGTTTCTAGGGCAAAACCCTTTCAAGTACATCATTTGGTTTGAATGAAGAAATCAAAACAAAGAATTTTTGCTCTCAGTCTTCCTCCATGGCTGGTGGTAAACCATTCACAAGAAATATTTTTCATCATTTCATTAATGCTTTTTAGATAGCATAACCAAAATTACAGATCAGTTCACTTTCAGAAAACAGAAGTAGCACTTAAAGGCAGGGATAAAGGCCTTCAATGCAAGTATCCCTGGAGAGGTAAGATCAACATTGTAGAATACAAACTACTACTGATTTCTCTGACTTCAAGAAAGTGAAAAATTTATACTGATATTGCTATAGGGGAATGAATCTCCCAGTCTACTATGTCTGATATGAGTTTGTGTTCTCTAAAGTCAAAGAATGAATTTTAGGAACAACAGAGATTAAGAGAAGAATATACTTATTGAGTGAAAGAAAGCGGCCTGAGAGAGAGAAGGCGTCCTGAGTGGGTTGCCAAACACTGTCCTTTCTAGGAACCTTTATAGACTAAAATCATGTGGTGACATGAGTTTAAGGTGGGGAAAACTAGGAACTCAATGCAAGTGGGCATAAGATGGGATAGAGCTATGGTAACCAATAAATTTATAAGTTCAATTAATGTTGATTAAATTGGGAACAAAGGAAGGGAGTCACATAGAAAGCAGGCATTCTTAGGCAGCTGTGACTCTTCCCTTAGGGGTTTGGGAGGGTGACTCCTGAGTTCATCAGGATGACAGGAACTATTTAGAATGTCAGTCTTTAGGATAAGGATACATTTGTTTGAATGGTGACTCCTGACTTCCTCAGAGTACTGTGGAACTATTGAGAATATCAATCCTTAGGATATGGATGAATTTGCTTATCATTTGTCTTGATCCTTGGCCCATAACATGAGAAGTCTGTCTTCCCCATAGTTACAAGGTATCTGGGCTCCTGCATGGGCTCTTTGGAGGGCCTAGCCCTGTCTCAATGCCAATAGTATTTAAATAACTCAGCTGCCTGTAACACTATTGTTTGGAAATTTTTTACAATTGGCTTGCTCTGGGTGAATGCTCTGGGGATGACAATGTGCAATGTATGTACCAGTGTTGCCCCCTGATTGACCTTTTTGTATTTCATTTTAGTTGGTTTATTCTTTTTTCCATGAAATAAAATGCATTTGGAAAATAAAAGCGTGAGGTAAAGCTCTTCAGTACAAACACTGTTCTGTCAAAGTGAGTTCACCACTGTAGAGGGATGGCAGCTCCAGAAGTTTCTGCACTGCAGTCTATCATTTTCAATCCTCTCTTGCAGGGAGAGGTTCCTTTCCTTGTTTATTCTTGACTCAGAAGGAGGGTAGTACAGCAGGAGTCGATCAGTGATGAAGAGGCGGGTTGTATGAACTGTCAAATCAGACGAGCCATTGCTGGTTGTGACTTCTGTCTCTTCTAGTGTCTCAACATGATTTACCTGTTCTGGGTACAATACTGGTAGCAAAACACTTGCTGGATCTCATTTAGTACTTTCAATGTCCTGTGGGCTGATTAGCAAAAAACCTGAGAGACCCTGGAGCCATGGAATGCTGAAGTTGTGGATGGGAGCCCAGAAATAGGGTGGATTGGGTGAAACCAGTTACAAGTGTTTAAGAGTATTTCCCATGTCTGGAGCTTCAGGTAGTTAGTTAGCCCACCTCCTGAGTTCCTCCAGCATTGGCCATGGGTCATTCACTGTCCATTTGCCTCTTAGTTGTTGGCAAGGGTCATTTTGGTCCCCAGAACCCTGGCTTCACAATGACTGCAGCAGACTCGAGTATCATCTTTGAAATTCACTGCTGGCCTGGTAACTCCACAATCATAGGCATAGGAAGGAGCTTGGGAAGACCCTGACTCTGATGCTTTTTTTTTGTCTTTTTCCTTTTTATCGGTACCGGGGATCAAACTCACAACCGCGTGCATTCACAGCAGGCACTTATGCCACTGTGCTAAATCCCCAGCCCTGACTTTGATGCTTTTTGTGGCTTGCAGAGCAGTAATGATCTAGGTCTCTGCTCTATTTCCTCTGAGTAGCAGATCTAGAATGTTCAAAGTTTATGAATGTCTGTAATGCAGGGCCTCATCGTCACAATGGCTCAACTTAAACTTCTGCATTTTGTATTTATAGTGATCACCTAAATTTATAGTATGTTCTCGTATTTCCATCCTCATGACAGGTAATGGTGTATGGAGTGGCATATCTCACTGATGCCACCTTATCTCGCCCTCCTGTGGGCCTCTGCCACGTCCGCCTACATTTCCGATGATCCTCATTTCTGCCTACATTACCCATAATCCTCTCCTGCTTATGTCATATATCCGGATGTGATGATGACCTATCAGATAACACTTTGTGCCCTCTTCCTGCCCCATTGGCCCGCCTCCACCCTATATAAGTTGTAGGCATTTTAAGAATAAATGAGGCTTGAATGGCATCCCACCGTGTGTCCATCTCTCTTTTCTCTTGCCCAGCCCCCCATCCCTGTCCTCTCTCCAGGTGAGGACCCCAGCCTTGATCTGTGGGCCAGATCAAGTGGCACCCAGCATGTGGGCTTGACCTGGCATGAAGGATAATGATGCAGGACCATTCATTCACTGGAGTAAAGTGCTGGCCAGCGTGACTGATTTAAGGGCTTTGTCCCTGTGATCCATGCGGATGGCCACCTTACGTCTCGCGTGAATCATGGTAGGTGAATGGACCTTATCTCTCTACTGGCATGGGGCAAGCACTTAGTGAACACAAATTGTTTGTCAGTGGCCTCAGGGAGTCACTCAAGATTAGAGGGAACAAGGTTAAGACTAAAGACTTGCTACAGTACTTTCAGTTTATACATTCAGTGTGTCCATGGTTCCCTCTAGAGGGCACCATTAATTCAAATAGGTGGAAAAGAGTTGGAAATGCTCTCAAAGACTGCTATGGGGTTTTTGGCCCAGAAAATGTTCCGGTAACTGCTTTTTTATATTGGACTTTAATGTCTGAGCTGCTGACACAATGACACACAAACCCCCCTAAGATGGCAGCCGTTTCTGGTCTGCCACTCCCTAAGGTGGCACCCATCTCAGTCTGCCACGTGGTCTGGCCACGATGATGTTCCCAGTTACAGAGACAACCTACCCTCCAAAGTCAGATGCCTTAAAAATGCGCATCCCTTACTGTTTCCAGTAACAGAAACTGCTCAAATTGGCATGGGTGGCGATGACTCACAAACTGGTGGGGAGACAACTCGACCCACCCAAGTTGGCACCAGTCCACAAGAGGGTTACAGTGAAACAATTAGAAAAAGGGGGAGACAAAAGAGACGAACTAGATGTGGGGATCGATCCCCAAGCCAGGAACATGGAAGGGATGCACCACAGGCCACTACAACAACAAGGGGAAACAAAACAGACAGCCACCGCGTTTACAGAGACAAGATATAGAAACTGATAATAGTGAGGAAGAGAATGAGTCTGACTCACATGGTAGTGATACAGACAGAGACCCACTACCCCTAGCGCCAAGGGCCAATAGGGCCCATACACTGTTCCCAGTAACTGCCCTAAAAGAATTAAAAACGCAGTATCCCAATATGGTCCCACAGCAGCCTTCACCCTTGTGGTCTTAGATTCCTTAACCCAAGGCTGGATTACGCCTAATGATTGGAAGGATTTAGCCAGAGCTACACTTTCGAGGGCGACTATCTGCTCTGGAAGGTGGAATTCCAAGACTAATGTGAACTTTAAGCTAAAGACAGTGCTATCAGGAAAAATCATTATACTCTTCCCATGCTAACAGGAATGGGTCAATATGCTACACAACAAGCCCAAATGGGATATGAGGCAAGCCTTTTTGCTCAGATCACTCTGGCAGCAAGCAAAGCATGGAAAAGAGTTCCCTCTGGTGGAGTCGCTTCTTCTCTTACAAAAATAAAACAAAAACCCCAGGAACCCTTCCCTGATTTCGTTGATCGCCTCTTATAGGCAACTGAGCATCTCTTTGGCACCTCCGGGGATAACTGTGACCTTGTTAAACAATTGGCTTATGAGAACGCTAATTCTGCCTGCCAGGCTGCTATTAAACCACATAGAAAAAAGGAGGATCTTTCAGGTTATATTCGCCTGTGTGCTGATATAGGCCCCGCCTACCATCAAGGCTTAGCCTTGGCTTCAGCTGTAAATGAGATCTTCCTTGCACGCAAGCAAGGAGGGAAAACAAATAATGGCAAATGCTTTAAATGTGATCAGACAGGCCATTTTGCCAGAGTCTGCCCTACCGCCCAAAAGTCCCAACACAGTAACCCAAGGCCAAAACCACAAGTTTGTGCCCAAAATGAAGAAAGGGATACCACTGGGTTAATGAATGCAGATCAAAAACAGACATAGATGGCAATCCCCTCCCTCAGCAGGGAAATGGGACACGGGGATCAGCCCCAGACCCCCCAACCCCAGACAGACCTCCAGGGCTATAATGTCTGTCCCATGACAAAACAACCCAGCACAAAACAATACATTTCAAACCTCCGCTGTGCCACACCAGGAAGCGCAGGATTGGACCTCTGTTCTGCCTCCAACACTGTTTTAGCTCCTGACATGGGAATGCAAGCCATTCCTACTGGGATTTTTGGCCCCCTTCCCAAGGACCCTTGTGTATTAGTTCTTGGATGCGGCAGCACAATCTTAAAAGGGTTACAAATTGTCCCAGGAGTCATAGATAATGACTATACTGGTGAAATTGTTGTCATGGCATCCTCTATCTCTGGCCTAATTTCCATTAGTCAAGGACAACGTATTGCTCAATTGGTGCTATTGCCTTTAGTCCAAACTCCTAATGCAGCTGTGGCTTCCTATAGGGGAAATTCTTCCCTTGGGTCTCCAGATATCTATTGGGCTCAGTTCATTACCAAAGATAAACCTCTTATGGCTTTATTGCTCAAAGGGAAAAGTTTCTCAGGGCTCATAGATACAGGTGCTGATGTAACAGTCATTAGAAAGGAGGACTGCCCTCCCACATGGCCCTTAGAAACCACTATGACACATTTGCAAGGGATTGGACAATATAAAAATCCACAATGTAGTGTCAGTCTACTTACCTGGAAAGATAAAGAAAACAATCAAGGACACATACAGCCCTATATTGTGGAAGGGCTACCCCTTAACTTGTGGGGCTGAGATTTGCTAACTCAAATGGGAATGATGATGGGCAGCCCTAATATAATAGTCACCAAACAAATGCTCACTCAGGGATTCCTTCCTAATCAAGATTTAGGTAAACAGGGCTCAGGCATTAAAGTTCCTATCTCCCCAACCCCAAACCCCTCTAAAACAGGCCTAGGCCATTTTCAATAGGGGTCATTGACACTCCTGAGGCCCATGCAAAAGAGATTACCTGGTTGTCAGACAAACCTGTTTGGGTCTATCAATGGCCCCTTACCTCTGAAAAGCTTACAGCACCATAGCAGCTGGCCACATTGTCCCTAGTGATTCCCCTTGGAACACACCTATCTTTGTTATTTGAAAATAGTCGGGGAAATGGAGGCTGCTACAAGACCTTAGGGCAATAAATAAGACCATGGTCTTAATGGGACCCCTACAGCCAGGCCTCCCTTCACCCAGTGCCATTCCCTTGGGATTTTTTAAAATTGTCATAGATCTTAAAGGTTGCTTTTTTTCTATTCCCTTACATCCAAATGACCAAAAGCATTTTGCCTTCACTCTCCCATCAATTAATTTTAGAGCCTCTATGCAAAGATTTCAATGGCGAGTACAAGGGATGGTTAACTCCCCCCATGCTATGCCAGTCTTTTGTTGATGCCGTAATACAGCTAGTTAGAGATCATTGGCCAAATATACATATCTCCCATTATATGGATGACATCCTCTTGGCAGGAGAGAGTCAAGGCCAGACTTTACAGTGTTACCAAGCACTACAAACTGCCTCACAAAAGGCTGGGCTTCAAATAGCCCCTGACAAGGTCCAGCTTACTGACCCATATGTATATACATATTTGGGTTTTCAGTTACAAGGCACTCAGGTGTTTTCTCCAAAGCCTCAACTAAGGCTTGATGGCCTTAAGATAAAACTTAATGATTTTCAAAAGCTTCTGGGTGATATTAGTTGGCTTTTATCCCATTTAAAATTGACCAAACATGATCTACAACCCCTTTATGAGGTCCTCCAAGGAGACATTGACCCAACTTCCCCCCAAGAGCTCACACCCAATGCTAGAAAAACACTCCATACAGTAGAAGAGGCTATCGATCAACAAACTGTCTACTTCATAGATTATAATAAGCCACTACAATATCTCATTTTTAATACAAAACTGTGTCCCATGGCAGTATTTTGGCAACAAGCTCCTCTTATGTGGCTTCATCTGCCAGTCTCCCCAAAGAGAGTATTATTGCCTTACTACCAAGCAGTCTCTGACCTGATAATTCAAGGCAGAAGGCTAGGAAAATATTATTTTGGAATGGAACCGTATGTCATCATTCAACCCTTCACCAAAGATCAAGTAGACTGGCTACTCCAGACCACTGAGCCATGGCCTATTGTTATAGCCTCCTTCTCAGGGACATTGATAACCATTACCCTCCAAATAAGTTGATTGATTTTGCTAACCGTCACCCGTTCGTATTCCCCAAGATTACAGCCTCTTCCCGATGCTCCAGTGTTATTCACTGATGGTTCCTCCTCCAGCAGGGCTGCTTACGTAGCACAAAACAGTGTTTTTACCCTCCAGACAGATACATCATCCATGCAGTTGCCAGAACTACAGGCTATTCTTGCAGTTTTTACTGCTTACCCCAATCAACCCTTCAAATTGTTTACTGATAGTGCCTATGTCACTCAGTCTGTTCCATTATTAGAAACTGTTCCAACCATAAGCCATGCCTCCCCAGCTGCAAACCTATTCAGGCAATTACAGGACATGATTCGGCTTCACAATCATAAGTTTTTCTTTGGCCACTTGCGAGCTCATTCTGGCCTCCCAGGTCCCCATGCTCAGGGAAATCATTTGGCTGATATTGCCACACGGACACAGGTATTCATGACCCATTTTGAGCCCACAGAAGACTCTAAGGTATCTGAGGCCCAACTAACTCATCAGTTACACCACCTCAATGCTCAAACCCTTTGTCTCCTCCACAACGTTACTTGGAAACAAGCCAGACAAATTCTAAAAAATTGCCCCTCTTGTGCTATTCATTTGCCTGTTCAACACCTGGGAGTCAACCCAAGAGGTTTAATCCCCAATGCCTTGTGGCAGATGGATGTCACTCATTTTAATGAATTTGGCAACTTAAAATATATACATGTAATTGTTGATACATACAGTGGTTTCATCTTTGCCACACTCCAGACTGGAGAGGCTACTAAACATATAGCCCATATGCTATCAGCTCTCTCGGTTCTGGGATGTCCCCAACAGCTCAAGACTGACAATGACCCAGGCTGTACTAGTACCTCCTTTGCCAAATTTTGTAAGTGCCTTAATATTCTCCACACCACAGGTATACCTTACAATCTTCAAGGACAAGGTATTGTTGAACGTGCACATCGCTCCCTCAAATCCACTATAGATAAAATAAAAGGGGAAACCTGGTACCCAACCCGAGGGTCTCCTAGAAATATTCTCTCACATGCTCTCTTTATTTTGAATTTTCTATCCCTGGATGCCTCAGGCTGCTCAGCGGCATCTCCTTTCTTGCACACATAGTCAGCAACACAATTTGCATCTGTGCTGTGGAGAGATCCCCTAACCAACACATGGAATGGCCCTGACCCAGTCCTCATCTGGGGACGAGGCTCTGTGTGCATTACTCCAAACAGGAAAAAGGAGCTAGATGGCTCCCCAGACAGCTGATAAAACAAGTAGACATCCCTTTATCGAGGACCCTATGTGACGCCCAGGAATAACATCCTCTTCTGAGGCACAATCCCCTGTGTTCTCTTACAGATGGTGCAACCTCTCAAAACCTTATGGACCGTTGTTGGACTTTTGACACAACTACATCTAATGGATAGCAACCCCCATCAACCCTGGAAATAGGAGCTTAGCCGCTGGAATGACCAAGAGATGGTTTGGACTTGGGTAGGATCAGGAAGTCCATGGTTTGTGCCCACATCCTGTTGGTTCTTTCCGGGGCTCCAATGTCCCAGACAAAGTCAATTCTACCTTTATCCAGCAGCAACAGGGGGCAGATCATATTGGAATTCCCCGGGAGAATATTTTTGTGCTCGTTGGGGCTGTGAAACAGTTGCAACAGGATGGCAAACTGCCTTCCCAGATAAACACCTTAAACTGACATGGGGGCTGCTGGGGTGCAGCCTAGATGACTACCCACCAGCAAATCAAAGACCCTGTCAGGTTCTAAACATCACTGTCACCACTCCGGAGGACCCTGGCTGGCTGACAGGATGCACCTGGGGACTTTGAGTCTATAAGTCAGGCAAAGATAGGGGAAATCTTATTTTCATAAAAAAGGTTTCCCTACAGGTTGCATCCACGTCCATAGGCCCAAATCCTGTTCTATAGCCAAATTACAATCCAAATCCAAAATACAAGCAGTGTAATACAGATCCTGGTACTGCTATTCAAACAACCACAGAAGTCACCCAACCATAAGCATTTCTCTAGCCCCCCCACACCAGGCAGATCATATACCTGACCCTCAATATTCACATTCTAACCTATTCAGTTTGATTAAAGGGGCATACACGGCTGTAAATCATACCCAACCTGATTTCACCCAATCCTGTTGGCTATTCTTGGTGACACTCACCTTAGCTGTATTACTAGGGTTAGGAGTCGCAATGGGAATAGGAACAGGGACTACAGCTCTAGTGTTGGGAAATCAGCATCTAGCTCAATTACAGACAGCAGTAGATCAAGATTTAAAAGAAATAGAAACATCTGTAGTGGCTTTACAAGCATCTCTGATGTCTTTATCTTAGGTAGTCCTACAAAATAGAAGAGGACTAGACCTCCTATTTATGAAGGAGGGTGGCTTATGTGCTGCTCTCAAAGAAGAATGCTGTTTTTATGCCGACCACTCAGGAGTCATCAGAGAGTCCATGACTTAACTAAGAGAGCGCCTCAAAGAGAGAGAAAAGGAACGCCTCAGAGAAATGACCTTCTCTTCCATGTGGGGGGGGGGTCTCTTCCCTTACATTGCCCCCCTCTTGGGGCCCCTGGCTGCTTTATTGCTACTCCTTACTGTAGGCCCTTGTATTTTCCAGAGGATTGTGACACTCCTTAATAACAGGATTGACACGTTTATGGCAAAGCCCATTCAGGTACATTACCATCAATTGGAGATAGTAGAACAACAAACTTATCAGGAAAGAACATCCACTGATGGTCCACATAATGATGTGGCCCCAATGCGCTGAGGTACTGGACAGGCAGCCAGAGACCGGCAACTAGGACACATATGTTATGCCATCGAACACCTAAGACAGGCACAGGACCAACTGCTATCCTGCAGGCCCATGACAGATAAGGCTCAATTTGGTACATATGAAGAGTCCTTGACCCAAGATAGGCACTGTTCTCACAGGGCCTGCCATACTCCTAAAAAATATAATAAAAAGGGAGGAGATGTAGGGAGCAGGATATCTCACTGCTGCCACCTTATCTCGCCCCCCTGTGGGCCTCTGCTGTGTCTGCCTACATTTCCCATGATCCTCATGTCTGCCTACATTGCCCATAATCCTCTCCTGCTTACATCATATATCCAGATGTGACAATGACCTATCAGGTAACACTCTGTGCCCTCTTCCTGCCCCATTGGCCCGCCTCCACCCTATATAAGTTGTAGCCATTTTAAGAATAAATAAGCCTTGAATGGAATCCCGCCTTGTGTCCATCTCTCTTTTCTCTTGCCCAGCCACCCATCCCCGTGCCCTCTCCAGGCAAGGACCACAGCCTTGATCCGCGGGCTGAATAATGGTGGCAAAGGCCCTGAGAATTCAGAGATGTGTAGTGATGTGCCTCATTGGAGAAAGGCTTTCCAAACACCTGGTAAATTCCTGTGTATTGTAAAGAACAGTGCAAAATAATTTCTGAATATACTTCATTATTTAAAAGACCCTCTATGTTGTATATCCTGCTATTGGCACCCCTGCTCACAGAATAGGTTTGTGAGAACAGCCATAGACTTTTGAAGTCTGAGAAAAATGAAGCCAATATGAAAGTGTTATCAAGGACAGGGTAAAAATTTACAAAGGACAAATTCCAGAAAGGGTTACCTGTTAAATCCTCATTGAAAAATGCCAAAATTTAGGCTTTTGCCTGGACATATACATGTGATATCCTTCTGAATGGAAAGGAATAGGTGTGTTATCTCTGAATTAAGAGTTGATTTAGTAGCTTGGTTGATCATAGAGAGTTTAAATATGGAAATGCTCTGCAATGGACTTTAGTAAGTGGTGTAAAGGAGAAGCCCTAAAATGAAATTGTGCTGGGATATAAATAGTTAGACATGAAGGGTTTGATACTCAGGGTGGATCAGAGGAGCATGGAAAGGATGTGGAAGTGACTAGCAGGATGCAGGGTGCCAATAGCAGGACATACAACATAGAGGGTCTTTTGCTGAAAGTCAGGTAGATCTTAGAGTAGGTATGAAGTTCAAGTTGGGTTCTGATTGCTTCCTTGAGGAGAATAACACCAGCTCTGGCAACAATCAGTATTCCACATCCCTGTCAATGCAGGAACTTTTTGTTCCATACTTGAGATCTAATTTTGATTATCTCTAATTATGCCCCACTGTCTTGAAGGTGAAATTTGAATTTTTTTGTACCAAGGATCGAACTCATGACCTATGCTTGCCACGGAGGTGTTCATGCCACTGAGCTAAATAGCCAGCTATGAAAGTGTTTTCTATATAGTATGAAGATATCCAACTTGTTGCCCAGAAAGCTTTGAATATTGTTGGAATTTTGCTGTATTGTATGGCTATAATTTTTAAAACAAACCAAAGGTGTCTTATGCAGTCTCTTTTCAAGTTTCACATTGTCTGTGGGGTATCTCAGTCAAAGTTTCTCTATTTTAGACAGCTCTGTAACTTAGGATAACCCCAATTCAAAGAAGAACTCCTTCACCAGCCTCCCAAGATATATTTCTTACATCGGAATGGAAAGTGATCACTTGGTGACATTGAGCTATAATTTACAGCTTGGGCCTTGTTTCATTTTATATACATTTTTTTAAATACATCTTTTTCAACTAACATTTGAGTTATGATTTATGTACCATATTTGACGTTATGTATGTTTTGTGCTATGAAATCAAATTCATATTTCAAAATACTGCTTAAGTATATTAAGAACAAAGAACTCAGTGTCCTAAATGAGATTTGAAGAGACATCATCTGTCATCTATCAAAGTGATTGATGAGACTTGTTTTTCTTTTATTTTAATTTTGAAAGTGGTAAAATACTACAGAACAAGACAGAATAAAGCCAACTATGATCATCCAGTGAAATTGGTACAGAACTTCACAGTAGGTTAATGTGATAACAGTAATAGGTATCACAGTATATTTTGTTATCTTTATAATAGTTGTTCTTTCAATCACATATATCAAAATGAGATGAAATACAGAACATCATAGAACTTATCAAAACAGAATATTGAATAGAGCAGTACCATTAATCAAAATAGAGCAAAACAGTAGTAAAAATATTTGCCTTCAAAGACCTGGTCGAAGGAAGTTCCCCTTAATTGCTATGGTCAGCTTCCCAGGAGATGCTCAGATTTCTGGTTCACATTTGCTAATGAGTGGGATGGGAGAAGAGGGGTAGGGGAAATAGGATGTTTGATTCTAGGCCGTGCATCAGTAAGTTCACTATTGCTTAGCAATGAGGCAGCCTTGTTGTTTGGTTTCACAGCGTCCTAAGTTACAATATGGTGTACAACTCAGGAGCTGATGTTGGTTCTCCCCTGGAAGGGCCACAGTCAGCCACAATGCCAGGGCTTACCAGGGAGGGGAAGTGCTTGCTTGGATTCCCAGCATCCTAAGTTCCAACATGGTGTGGATCTCAGGAACTGCTGCTAGTTCTCCCCCTGGAAGGGCCACAGTCTGCCAAACTGCCACCACTTACCAGGCAGGGGAGGTGTTTGCTTGGCTTCCCAGTGTGCTAAGTTCCAACATGGTGCACATCTCAGGAGCTGCTGCTGCTTCTCCACCTGGGAGGGCAACATTCTGCCAAACCTCCAAGGCTTAGCAGAGGGGAGGTGCTTGCTTGGCTTCAAAGTGTCCTAAGTTCAAACTTAGTGTGGATCTCAGGAGCTACTGCTCGTTCTCCCTCTGGAAGGGACACAGTCTGCCAGACTGCCACTGCTTATCACGTGGGTGGGAGAGGGATTTGCTTCTTGGCTTCCCAGTCGAATATGGGATATTTATCTGCCTCTGTGATTTGTGGATGCTGCAGGCTTCTCAATGTGAGCTCTGCTTTACAGACAGTACACAGGGAATCTTGCAGTGGCTCACCAGAAGAATCAGTGCACCTATTTGGCTGTTACATTAGCAGTGAGTTGAAATATAGCATCAAATTTGAGGTCTCCAAAAATGTGTATATACACAAAATTGATGACCAAGACATGGATTTAAGATTTGAAGAAATCACTCTCCATTCAGATGTTTTGTTTGGATTTATTTGTTTAGTTTTGTTTTATTGAGACAAGCTTTCTGTAGGTATATGAGCTGGATTTGAACACCCTATGGAGCCTAGAATTGCCCTGACCTCACCAAACCTGTCCTTTCTCAGCCTTTTGCATGCTGGAATTATAGATATACACTACCACACTTTGCTTTTGATTCACATTTGTAGGAAACAATTTAAGATATCCCAGACCTGGGGTCTCAAACTTACTTTGAGAAATATATATATGATCCCTTAGGAGGTGGTGACCTTTGAAAATATGGCTGTGAACTTCAGCAATGCAGAGTGGACTTTGCTGAGTCCATCCCAAAAGAACCTCTGCAGAGATGTGATGGGGGAAACCTTTGGGAAAATGGGTATGATAGGTAAGGCTGACATCTTTTTATCACTCATGCTATCAGAATGTTGTTTGTTGCTCATCAGTGCTGTTTCATTAAAAAGAATGTGAAAATAGTTTGAAAAATAGCTGAGACATGGTCACATTATGTCATAAATCTAATCAAAATCTATTAATTTGTATGTAATACTCTAATGAGTCCTGGTATTTCTATGTCTGCTATTCAGGAGGACTTGGGAATATCCAGGAAGCTGTAACAGAATGCAAAATTTACTGGAGATACTTAAGGTAATTCACACTCACAAGGAGAAGGAATGTTCCTGAGTAATTAGAGAGTCAGCAGAAAAATGACCGCCAAAAAATTGAGTCACCGTTCAATCTAATGTCACTAATATTCTCCGAAGATGTATAAGCTAGGGTATGTACAAAGAGGGAATTAAATCATGAAAATGTATCACATTGAATATACATGTTACAAAAGGCATACACTTTGAGTTATGGCATTCTGCCTTCAGTTTTTCTACCCATATATACATGTGTATACCACACATTCATTATCTAAAAATTGCTAAGATTGCAATAGAATTTGAAATAAATCTGAGTGCTATGTTTCCAAGCCATGGTCTAGAGAATCAGCCATTTTGATAAAAATTCTTAGTAGGCTGGTGGAATGTTAAGTGCACTCATTCTGAGTATCAGTATGCAGTGTTCTCTAGAAGTTCATCCCCTCATACTTGTCCAGGATATATTTTTAAAAACTCAAAATCTGCATAAAATACAGATACATGCTTACTCATATACAAAGCAGAACAAGATAAAAGAGATCAGGCCTTAAAGCAGCTTAGCTACTTATTACTGAATTTGTGGATAAGGAAAATATTAATAGACTCTCTGTGATTGTACATTCTTGCAAACCCAGCACCCTAGGAATCAGATTTTGCAGAATGCCAAATTCAAGTTCAAACTTCACAGTTTAATGCTCAGTGAAAATCTCTTAAAATAAATTAAAAAGATAGAGATTTTACGCTAGTACCTGTTGTTCATTCCCAGCATGGATAAGATAAAAACATGTTATATAATGTCAAAAAATAAATAATATAATGTCATATGCAATAAGAAATAGGTGTGTCTTTTTCCCATCAATTCAGTGAAGTAGCTCAGCTATATAACCTAAAAAGTCACAAGGTTTCTTCTAGATGGGAAAGCAAAATACAAATTGTGCAATGAAATGAAAGAGAGTTGATAGAGTAAGGTAAGACTGACCATTTGGAAAAGAGAACTACAGGTTAAGGACAGAAGGCAGAATGTGATGGGGAAACATATCAGAACGATCTGTCTGTGATAAACATATGTACCCATACCCAAAGTGAAGTTAATATTCTGCATTTCAAAACAAACCAACTTTTAAGATTTGGAAATATGTACCAGTCTTTAGCGAATGGTTGTTTTCAACATATCATACAAGGCATTCTGTTGCTTCATTGTCAGACTATCTTAGCAGGCATTAAAAAAAGAGCTTGACATTAATGCAGTCTTTAACACAGAGAGCTATTTCACTGTGAATTTTTTCTCTGTTTTAAATTTAAGTAAAGACTAAAAACAAAATAAGTAGAAATAATACTACTTTCAATGTGAAAATAAACAGTAAGAAATCACAAGTCAGTGACTACATATGGTGCTCATAGAAATAGTTAATCAAGATACAAAAGTAAAACATATGAAGTGGGGATTCAAACAATGACACTGCAAACAGTTTTTTCAGCTCTCCTACAAAAACTTAGTAATATGGTTATTAATCCTATATGTGATTTTTTTTCTTAGAGAAATGACAAGGTAGGGAAATCCTATGG